GTTTCCTTCAATGTGCTACAACCCTTGAACACAGTCTTGTAAGAACGAGAATGTTGGAAGCTCAACAACATAAGAACTATAAGAAAAATTACTTCTTATCACTTTTCGTGTTTGATCAAAATGAGCGAAGTAAAGTTTTGAAGAACTTGTTATATGTGTATTCCACTGAAGTAAACCAGTTTTTTTCCCCTTGACACTACAGCCCCAGTGGGCCTAGGCCTACCTCCATGAACTTCTCCGTTCACTTCGGCTTTTCTAGATCTTACACATTCGGTAGGACTACTTGGGCGGGTGATCAGCTCGTCGCAAGGCCTCTACCTGTATACAAACACAAAAAAACGCACACACACAAACTGAACATCCATGCCCTGAGTGGGATTCGAACCCACGATCCCGGCTTCCGAGCGAGCGAAGACAGTGAACGCCTTAGACCGAGTAAACCAGTTTACCAAATATCAAATTTCAAAGTAACACAAGAAGGCAATAATAGTTATAAGAACTTGTTGCACAAAATAACTTATGTACTTACTGTTACTTCCGAAGTAACTGAAATGTTCCCCATGTTCCAGTTACTTGGAAGCAACAGTAAGTACACAAGACATTTCGTGCAACAAGTTCTTATAAAAATATAATTAACTGCCTTCTGATGTTTGGCGCTTTGAAATTTGGTACACAGGTATAAATAAATAGGGGGAGCGTGTTGTCTCCGTATTCAGCGTCAATAGTGACTTTTACCATGAGAGTCACAGAAGAAGAGAGGTCGAACTCTTGAGTTTTCTTACAGAAGAAACACTAGAAAACATTGGAACGCGTTTGCTTCAAGCCACAAAAGATCTTCAAATGCCATGGCTGAAAATATTTGTCTCCAGTTCGCAGTTAAAATCAAAATACGTAAAAATAAAGTTTAATTTGCTAACAGGCACTTAAATTTGGTGATAAAGCTATTTCAGTCGTGAGTAGCTTCATTCTATGTTCGTTTTTGTATCTCCAACGAAAGTCTTCCTCACCACTAACTTGGGTCGTCTCAACGTAGCGCCGTGAGGGAGAGGCAACTTCTCCGACTCCGCTGTGACTCGTGCAGTCTAAACACATGTTGCAGGCGTACTGTTCCTGCGGACATGAATTGAAATGGTTGTCTCTAGACTCACACCGCTTTTAACATGTCGGCACCGACACGCAGAAAACCGCTTCCCATTACTGTTGCATGAAATTCTTGTAGTACAACTGTTGTGTTCTTGCAAACAAGCTTGTTTGAGAAGACGTTACTAAACGATGGATGTTGTATAGTTGCTCATTTCACGATCGTTGTCTAACAACGGTTCTACATTCCACAGTATTTTTTATTTCATTATGATGTCAAAAAACTTACTGCCATCATCTTCATTGTCTACTGCCAAACCAAGCAACCAACTAGCAGAAGTAGACGCAAGCTGCGCTCAAGCTACATGTCTCCGAAACCTCGGACTCTCTCCAAGCTGCATGGCTTTACAACCCAGATGACCATACCGTTATAGCCACTCACTCACTCATGGAACTGAGCCCTTCTTGAGAAGCCGCCTACTGTGCAGCTACTCAAGAATTTCCCAGCATTTATGGAACCCGAAAATTCATTACCGTGTTTACAAGAGCCATCCATTGGTCCCTGTTATGAGCCAGTTCAATCCACTCCACACCATCCCAACCTAGCTCTATAAGATCCATTTTAATAGTGTCCACCCATCTACGCCTTTGTCTTCCCAGTGATCTCTTTCCTTCTGTCTTTCCCACCAATATCCTTTATGCATTCTTCTTCTGCCCCATTCGTGCTACATACCCTGCCCACCGCATCCTCCTCGATAGTTTCTATGTTCCTCTCTTAATGCCAGAGACCAGGTCTCATACCTATACAGAACCACAAGCAAAATAATCGTTTTGTATATTGTAAGTTTTATGTTTTTGGACAGCAGACGAGAAGACAAAAGGTTCTGGACTCAATGGTAGAAACCGTTATAGTCACTGCTTTGAGAATCTCATAATCAAATTGTATCTGATGATTTCCACCTTAAAATAAGATACAATACATAGAAAATAAGCGCCAATATAATTATTTTATATACACAGTTTGATTCATAGATGTCACTCTCCACTCAAAGAATTGGGACTATCTCAGTCAGTGTATTGGCTTGACGAAGGAGAAACTGAATTATAGACGGGGTTTGGATTGGTGACTAGGTTTACTGACCACTTATACACACAACTCGCAACTACAAGTAACTATAACAGCCTCACTTTTTGACACACCATAAAGATCACTCTAACTTCAGCACATTGTAATATTCTATATCATCATTAGTCGTTTCCTGGTAACGCATCCTAACAATGTCATCTAGTAACGTCCTTACCGGCTGGTAGACATCCCACAAGTCATTGCTCCAGCTGTCTAACACCCAGGCTGACAGCCATCTCGCAACAACCTTCTACTCTTCTCTTCAACAACTGCAGCTCCGAACTTGTCCCGTTCATAACATCTCAGCACGGACCTCAAAGAAAACGCCGCTCATTGTTGTAGTATAATCTTTTCCTTGGGAACATTTCTGTGTTCGAAAATTGCTCAGTAACGGCTCTTGTGTATTTGCTAATCACTGCTTCATCTTATCACTACCACTAAAATTTTATTGCGTCACGGCCCCCTTTCCACTGACTTCTCCGATTTAGGGAGTCAGTGACGTAGGCAGACGGAAGTGGCCAGTGCCATGGCCTCTAGACGGTCGTCTTTCTCCGAACAGCAATTTCCCCCCCCCCCAACACATAAGCACTCCCTCACCGTAACAACGGAACTGCGGGTGACTATACAAAGAACCTCATGTCTATGCAGCGACATTATATCTGCATTTTGAGTTTCTGATTACTTTACACATACCATCTTATTACACCTCTTGTACATGGCAATTTAAAGGCAGTAACCAGCCAATCTACCCCCAGCAATGGCAAAACCTGTATGTTCTTTACACGGCCAGTGGTGTCATTTTTCAAGAGCAACTCTAAATAAAACCAAACAATCAGCCGCAATGTCACTATTAGAGGTACACACATGATACTTCTTGGGTCTGTAAACAAAACCATTGAAACGTGCACACATAATGTGCCTACATGACTAAGTAACTAATTCTCAGGAGCAGAGCCCTTCGACCTAAGCTAACATTCGCTCAGCTAGTCAAGAAATTCCCACTTTACATAATCACGCCATATTTCTTATATGCTCCTTACATTTTAGCTTTCGTGACTATAATTACTACAAATTAAACATCTGTCGACCACATCAAGAAGGACAAGATGGCGAAGCACTGCAGCTAGCATGCGAGATATCAGAAATGCGTACAAAATTTTGACAAAAATGTTGAAGTAAAGCGACCTCATGGGAGATGAGGTGGGGAGGTAATATCAATATGGATCTTGATGAAAATGGGTGGGACAGTAAGAAATGGATTCATCTGACTCAACGACAGACATTATTTGCAGGCTACAAATATAAATCACTCCGTCCAATGTGACCTGTAAGTTTTTTACTACATGAAAACTTAACACCCTTACATGTTTCGGTCTCTGTGGACCATGTTCAGAGGGCAAACATCACTACAAATAGGAAACCAGCATCACATAAGTTGTTTAGACGTAAAGTACGTACACTTATGTGCTGCAATACATAGTACACAAAATTTTGAGTTAGCTTTGCAGCATTACTTGTCCCTTTTAAACTTAGGTTGGCGTACTTTGGTATGATGTTTTTGTTTTGACAGGTTCGATTGAACCATATATGCGCGTTGGTTCTTAGTAGTTTCATTTTAGTATTGATGTATTGATTTACCAGTTTAGCTTGACTAGCTTCGATGAGTTTGATTTGTTTCATTTGAAGGCTGTTCAGAGCTTGGCAACGACCATTCCAGTTTAGTGAAAACCTGAAATATACTGAATGACTTGACGCCTACTACTTCCCAAGAAGGGCTCTGTTCCATGGAGTTCATTAGTTAGTAGGTTGGCTGGTTAAAGAATTTCTCACAATTCCTATGCTTCTTACATTCCTGGCTCACCTGGTCCTCTTTAGTAATTATCATATTACCTATTAATAGTCAGCATTTTTAGTCTGTCATCACGTTAGTGGGTTTCTAAATTTTCCGTTTACACTAACCCCGTATTTGTCCTCTGAACTTATCGTACCTTGCCACTGATACTTTTCACACTTACAGTCTGATTCTGGAGAGGAAAACTAACACCAGCTGTCTCTCAACCTGCATGAAATTCACGAGGTGCCTATTAAATTTGTGTTTATATTGGCGTGAAGTTAAGCTTAAAATGAAATTCAGTTTCTACAGCAGAATACTCGGGAACTAACGTGTTGTGACCATGAATATTTAATGCCGAATAACTGATGGGATTTACATGAAGTTAGAGGCAGCCAGACACAGGAGTAGCTTACGTGATTACTTACTTACTTACTCATGGAGCTGAGCCCTTCTGGAGGAGCCGCCAATTCTGCAGATACTCAAGAATTTCCTAGCATTTTATGGAACTCGAAGGTTCATTACCATGTTCACAAAAGCCCTCCACCGGTCCCTGTCCTGAGACTGATCAATCCGATCCATACCATCCCATACTATCTAAGATCCATTTAATATTGTCCACCCACCTACGTTTTGGTATTTCCAGTCGTCCCTTTCCTTCGGAGTTTCCCACCAATATCCTATATACGTTCCTTCTTTACCCCATTCGTGCCACATACCCCACCCACCTCATCCTCCTTGACTTGATCATTCTAATTACACTTGGAGAAGAGTACAAATTACGAAGCTCCTCATTATGCTAACTAAATGTTCCTTTATCATTCACCAGCTGTCTGTTTACATTTCAGTATATCTGTTGGGTCGACATTTAAATACGTCACTCCATTACATTGATGCAGTAGAAGTGAAGGTAATAAAGAACCACACTCTGCAGGTATTTGGCGGAGAGAATTGTGTACTCACGAACTCTTAGAGGCACTAGTTGGTGAGAATGGTGCTCCTGTGGCTTCACCCATGAGAAACTGGCCCCTTCTCCCGCTGAAAAGAGCCCGGGATGATATCCGTGTTGGTGTGGATACTGTGCAGATGAAAATGATTCTATCCGCTGCCAGGAATGGAACACTGTCATATCTTCCGTCCTGTCAGCTGCAGAGTCTCTGTGCTGACTGATGTAACAGTGCAATGACGATTCCCAGGGTCACTGTTAGTAAGCAATCACCTGTAAGATAACGAAGAACGAAATATCCGTGTCAGTAGAACATAAGATAAAATGCAAACCTCGTGTGAATTCGATCAGCGTTAAGCACTTCTATGTTCAATATGAAGTTAACTTTTCAAGCACCGGAGAGTGAAAGTGTATCGACCCTCTAAGGGTTCTGCTCCCTTTTAATCTTACCCTCACGCTCTATGTGATCCCCTTCGAACTAGATCAAGCGTTTAATAGCATATGACATTTGTATTTTTTGCTGATGGAATTTTATCGGGTTAAGAAAGGTAGTTTCTTGCCATTTGATGTAAAATAAATTTCAGGATAATCACAATCCGACTGCTCTTGTAGCTCCTGGAGGCCATGCTGCGAGCAAGAACCTATCTTCTCTGCCCTTCACAGAGAGATAAGTTTATGCCTAACTCTTTGTACGGTACCATAAAGGAAGCGATCTCCTTCATCCGTACTCGCTTCTTAATCGTATTGGGTGATGCCAAGTGGAAAAGCAGCAAAGAGTAAACAAAAAATGAAAGAGGACGTTAAGATCTTCCAGCTCAGAGGTTCCTGAGGCACGAGCTATCGACTTATCGAAGCTATGGAATCGAAAAACACATTGCCGAAACGCGATTATGGCTTATGTGTCCCCCATATTTATTTAATTTTTTTGTCACAGTCAGGAAGTCATTTTTGTGTATGTGTATCAACAAGGTGTAACTTGGAATCTTCGCTAATGAATTGTGATGCTTAAATGTCACTGGTGATTGCAACTTCGGCCGTTCCTTAATGCTGAAATATGTAAGATGGAACTGAAATTTATTGACGAAAATATAAATTCCATAGTGAAAGTTTCCTTCATATATCTTTAGATTAAATAAAAATCAGTGTAGGAATGACGGTGTAAATGACAGTTAATTCATTGTTATAATTTTCCGTTTCAATTGAAGGACAGATAGTTATTGTAGTCCTGGAGTTTCAGCAGTATTCAAATTTTTCTTTTCAATAAATTTCGAATTTAGAACTGCTCCATCTCTGATTTATCCTGTTGCATATAAATGTATTTTAGCCCCCAACATTCTGCTAGGTTTATAATGAACACAACTGCGTTATATCTTCATGAATTACGGATGTCAAATTACTGAGTTTTACCAGTAACCCCATCTTCATTTCAATTATTAATTATACGTGACTCCAGAATCCGTTTGTTGAGTTGATATTCTGCACATAAATCGGAAATCTCTTTCTGTTTAAATTTCATCACGTCCAGAAAATGAACCCACATTCCAAATATAATTAATATCCGATTCACTGTGTAAAGCGTTTGTAGAGACTTTTGTTTGATAAATTTGCAAACTACCTTCGAATAGCAAGTGTTCGTTATGTTAATACATTCTGTGGAATTACATTTAATATCCGTCTGTGTAACAAAACCCTTTCCTCTGAAGCCACACAGTTTGAATTGCCTCCGTCTGATTGCTCAAATTATCATGAAGCCAACATTCAGCAAGCAGGCTTTTGTGGTTCGGAAATGAAGAACAGAAGGGAGGTCCTCTACTTTAAAACTGAGCTTGCTGATACAAGCTGAATGCTCTTGCTTGTAACAAATTATTATATAAATATGATAGTATGTTTATTCATAGTTATTTATTCACAGGTTGACGTAAAATTCCTGCGAAGAATTTCATTATCCATGCATAAAGAATATGTACAATACATCGAGCTAGAGGCCACGATACACGTAAAACGGGGATATTTGGAAAGCACTGAATGCAATAACGACTAAAGGAATTTCAGTCTGAAACGCGCCTAAGGGTCCGATGATCAGGGTTCGATTTCTTCGAAGAGAAAGTCAGCAGCTCCTTCCCTCTTTTACCTACCCTCCACCACTATTTGGAGACGGTAGCTGTATTTATCCATGGTTCAGTTGTTGTGTTCACAGTACTCCCTAAATGGAATGGGCGCTCAAACTTATCTTTCAGCAAGAAAAGACTGAATATCTAGAACTACAAGTGTTTAATAAGAGTTAAGCTAAATTCATGATATACAATCATGATCATCATCAGTAATCTGTCAAGACGACAGGTCCACAGTCTCTTNCCCCAGACCATATATGGCCTTAATCGCTGTTCACTCTTCCCATTGGTCCCCCCTCCCAACCCCCCTGCCTACTTCATACATAAACTAGCTCTTTTCACTTCCAAATCATTGCAGCTACAGCTATCTGTATTCGCAACGCATCTCAACTACCCTGAAGATGGAGGCGATATGTTCCTCCGAAACGTCGGTTAAAACCAAGAATACACGGCGCCAGATCCCAGAAGACGACTTTCTCCACAGTCATCGCCGTGAAACCTCAAAACTTACATGAACAAGAAAATGTTTTGGTTTTCGCTACCAAGACCAGACCTGCTTCTGTCTCACCCAACCCTCTATCCATGGGTACCGGGGGTTTCTGTGACACACGTGGAGCTTGTTTTCATTTAATGACGAGGGTAAGAACTTATGAAGCCGAATTTCCACTCCCCATTATGGCTTCATAGATATCGCAGTGTTTAATTGAACACAAGTTCTAATTATGTGCTTAACTGCCCATATATTAGCCTCTACGACTAAACAAGACACATTATAGTATCAAGCGACATTCACTGTTTCCATGTGGAACTTGCTAATCTGCACTTCCTGCAAACAATTCTCCTAATTCTATTTGCGATTGAAAAGGCAACTTCATCGTTTTAATGTAGAGTACATTATAAGTGGTTTCGTTCGAGCCCCATTTCCGTTTTAGACCACTCTTCTTTTGTGTCAGGGGACGTAACTCTCCCATTGATGGCCCATGAAACAGTAATAGCATTACTGATACCCCTACAAACTCCGCAGCCGGCGTAACACCACAACCCTTGATCCAATTTGACCTTTAAAAGCAGCGTAACTCCTGTGCCTGTTTTTCGGAATTACAAACCCCCATCAATTCTTCCTTTTTTATAGTTCCAATCGTTTCCACCGTGGTTAGTGCGCGACCATTAGAAACAGACCGGACGGTAAAGCTTAATTGGTTCTTTACCGGCCGTATGTATAAACAAGGGCAGAAGTAGGTTTTTGGATGCCAGCCGTGTCCCTGGGACATCCTTATGGAAAAATAAAGGCAGGGAGCGTGATCCTCAGTTTCTAAATGCAGTTTATGGTTCCAAGTGAAGTTAATGCTACGATACGGCTTGTTCCATTGCATGTTATTGCCTCTGTGGGTACGCGCTACTTTGAGCTGGGTCTGCTCCCTGTTGACAGAATCTCGAAAGACACGTCCTTCCGTCCGTTCGTCCATCCATGGCTCTACAGTCTTATTCGTTGGGCCTTGGCCTATACTTCAATTTCTTAATCCTATACACAGCCGGTAGGACACCTCGCACGCCGCAAGGCCGCTACCTACACACAGAACAACAGAATAAATGCAGACATCCATTCCTCAAGGGGGATTCGAACCCACGACCCCAGCGTTTAAGCGGACGAAGAGAGTTCATGCCCTAGACCGCGCGGCGTACACAACTTCACTGAAAGAAGACAATTACTCGGCAATGTCAGATATAGCAGAGAGATGCACTTCTTCGACGTGAGTGCGACAAGCAGCATGTGAAAGATATTAATGGAGTATGGATAGATACATGGCCGCGCCATAGTTCAAGCGGTTAGTAGCTTGCTTCCCACCGCGGCGGCCCGGGTTCGATCCCGGGTTTGGCCAAATGGGATTTGTGGTGGAGAAAGTGACGCTAGGGCCGGTTTTCTCCGAGTACTTCGGTTTCCCCTGCCAATCTTCACTTCACCAAATTATCTATCATCATAATCACCCGGGGCAGGTACAATAGGCCAATCAGTGGCCGCCGTGCCGAGTGGACCCAGCTGGACTCCACCCCCCACTAAGAGAATAGATAGATACAGCCAATCACAGTGGCCACGCGGTCGAAGGCACGAACAGTCCTCGCTCACTAAAACGCTGCGGTCATGGGTTCGAATCCCACTCGAGGCATGGATGTCTGTGTGCGTTTATTCTGTATGTAGGTAGCGGCCTTGCGACGGGCTGATCACCCGTCCAAGGAGTTCTACCGACTGTGTATAGGATTAGAATAGTGAAAAAGCGGCCATGGTCCACAAGGGCTGTAGAGCCATAGATCGATAGATAGATAGATAGATAGATAGATAGATAGATAGATAGATAGATAGATAGATAGATAGATCAGGTTAATTAAACGCAATGAATAAACAAAAAGGAAACTCATAATGAGTACCACCGATTTGTATGTCAAAGCTATTATTACTGAGAAACCGCGCAAGAAATGGTGACGAATCATTAATACAAAAGTGAAACAGACTAAGAGATCGAATTGAACCCTACGAAGAGGAAGATGCATGGAGAACTCCTAAAAAAGGGAAGAATTTTGGAAATAAGGAAGACGGAACGCTGAGGTCCGTAGATCTGTGAGATAAACATACCTGATATTGATTAATAACAACTTTCACTTGACCCAATGTCTGAAACACCTTCTGCACTACGAGAGTTTCTACCAGGGAATTCACGCGCAGCAAGTACTAGAGAGGACATGTACGGGAGTACAACTCAGCAAGGGCTTTCCTGTCAGTAGGCGCGGAGGTCAAATCGTCACCTGGAAACACTGCGTACTGTTTTGGGTTCCATGCACAATTTGACACAGAAGAGCGTCATGAAGTGCTTTATGACGCGAAATCAAGAGTTCAGTCCTGAAAGCGAGACAAGGGAGGTGACTTCTTCGACTGTCAAAGGAAATAAAATTATCAGTGCGCTGTGGCACCTGTGCAAATTTTGGAAGATAGTCATTTTTCGTTACTTCTGCTTGCATTCCCAGCAAAGGCTTGAACGGAGACCAGGTAAAACTGTTCAAGTGTTCAAAATAAACTTTGCAGAACCACTGGACTTTCTCAGACGCAGAGTTTTGGTACTGTGACAGCCTTCATGTATGTGATCGGGTTCCAGAAACGTGGACTACCAC